CCTGTCCTTTAAGCTTTGGGGATCTCTCAAAACCTACTTCAGCTCTCCTAGAAATAATTTCTTCATTACATCAAGTTTAGTCCATATGCACATTGGTTGTTTACTATTAATCTTTTCATCCTTAGCCCAAAACCCCTCTTTATCCATGAATAGGAAAGAGGGAAGAAAAAAAAGGTTTTGGGCAGAAGAATGCTAGAAAAGAATGCTGTTTTTAGAAAGTCGTATATCCAAAGACTATATTCATGTCTGCAGTATGACTGCACTCAGAGAATTTGAGTGCTGCAGTCAGAGGGAAGCATGTGTATGCATCCTGGGATATCTTTAATTAGTTGAGGAAGTGATAAAAGTGAACCTACAGTGGCACAGACCCAGCCTCTTCCTAGATCTTGGTATTGTCGGTGGCAGTGTGCTGTTTATAGCACAGCCTTTTGTTCTTAGTTCTTAGTGCTCAGTCTAGGTAGATTAAAGTGGCATTCAGATATTTTGTTTTCAGAAAAAGGCTGACAAAGCCAATGAGACTGCTTCCATGCATGCAGTCTACACAAGATTTATATTCACTATATCCTGTTAAAATACATACTTAGTTTTACAGATTGTTTGGATCATTCTGAACATTAGTTACATCTTTCTTATTTAGAGATAGGAGTGCAATATGAAGCACTGCTGCTGCAGTTAACTCTGCTATTTTTAGCTATTTTAGCACCAGGTCTTTTCTTTTAGAACACAAATTTTGCTTCACTGTTAACAAATGAAACAGACTAATGGGGGATACATTATCAAGTTGCCGAAGGTTAGCTTTTCTTCGTGTCACACTTAAGAGTGACTGTGCTGCACTAATTAAAAACATTACCATGGCAATTGCTATAGAAACATTTAAATTGGCATCATCAGTAACAAATCCGTGCTATTGATCCCAGCAAGGCTTATTTCACACTACACCTGAAGAATCTAAATAGAATATTTTGCATTCAAAAGGACTTCAAGAGATAATTTTTTTTCCAGTTGTTACTGTGCTCAGGAGAATAATGTTTTTCATACAGAGATTATTCATTTACCTGGAGGTGTTATAGGATTCTGATACCAAAGTCCTTACTGCAAAGAGAGACTGCAATAGTTCTCTGCTACCACCACATATGCTTAAACCATACAAATGAAAAAATACTTATTACCTCCGCTCAGATCCACTCTTTTGCAAAATGGGTGAGAAAAGCAGGTTCTCAAAAATGTTTGGCATTAACATGTTTTACACATGAATGCCCCATCTTAAGAGAAGTTTCCAAGATAACTAGAAAGAAAACCATTTTCTATTGTTTGACAAAAACAATAAGTTGACATTTTACTGATTATATGATGGGAGCAGAAATAAAGTGCGAAGAAATTGCATATACAATATTGATCAGTTGCTTGGAAAAAAAATAAATTATTCTCTAAAGATCTTTGGTCCTCTTAGAGGAAAAATCAAATTAGATGTTTAGCATAATGTTCAGTATACACTGACCCAGAATAATAAGTCTTTCTTTACACCTAAAAGGTCCAGTTATCTCAAAAATAAAAATCAGGAAAATATGGGCTGTAGCTTAATTTTTTGTTTTTGTTCTTGCTTCATTCTTCTTGACATTAAGGATGCTACCTTTTGACTATGTAGTAAAGTCCTACTAATTATCAAGGAAATCAGTAGAGGGCAGCGCTACACAGAAAACCACATGTTTAAAGCACTCTCATTTTAACTTCTCCCCTGGCTGGGACAAAATATGGGAAACTAGTTTCCTTTGAGAAAAAGACCTCTGTGAAAAATTGGTGTTTGCAAAGAGATAATTTCTTCTAGCAGGGTCAGAACATCAGTGCATGGTGCACCAAATTTCTCTGAACTGGAAAAGTTGGTCTTACTTTTCCAGACCATAACAGAATCCTTTCTTTCAGCATTAAACTCCACCCTCTGAGTCTACAGAGCACAACTACTGACCTGCTTGAACAGCTCACTATGAGACAAGATGCATAAGAAAATAACAACTATGAAGTAGTTTTCTGAGTACAAAGAAAAGAGTAGTATAAAACTCTCCTGCATTTAAATGAGGAGGGCAAATAGTGTTTGGGCAGAAAAGAATGAGGGCAATTTCAGGAAATGAAAAATGCGCAGTTTTGAAATAACAAAAATTAAGCACTTGAAATTTTATTTACATTTTGAATTATCACCAAACTTAGCATGCAGTCATACATCTCTACAAGGCCAAATGAAAATATATTGATGTCACCCATCCCTATCGGTTTCAAAAAAAAAAAAAAAAAAAAAAGAGTAAAATCAAAGTAGACTAAATCACCTGAGTGTTAGATTTCTCTAGGATTTGAATTAAGGACATTTGAAGCAAAAATTTTAACTGGTATTTTTTAATAATTTCTTTTTCACAGCAGTCTTTCAAGACTTAGAGGTTTTAGAATAATAATTTTAGTATTTTTAGTATGCATCAAAATTTTTAGTATGCATTAAAATTTTGCCAAATATGCATGTTATTTTTAGGAATTTTTGCTTGGTTTATGGCTTATTATGTCTTACTGCAGAAAAGACTGTAGGGTCCAAGAAATTAGAGAAATAAATCAGTCATGAACTTAAATATACAAAAACACAATCTTTATCAGAATAGTTACATTACAACACATAGTTCATATCAAGGCAAAAGGAATCAAATCCAAAATCTGATTAATATAAACTTTTGAATATTAATATTCAGAATGTACAGAAGAGGATTCTTGAGCTACAGTCCAAATGCAAGTGCAAATGAAAGAGCACTATTCGAGGACACATTAAGCAAGAATATCTCCAGAAGAGATAAGAGACTCGGTAAGAGTCACTGGACAAAGCTGATTGTCTGATTTCTGAACACAATATTTCCAAAGGTTCCTGTTGCTGCCTACTTTCATTCTTCAATACCTTAAGCAGGATCTAATTTACAAAGCATGAAGACACCCTTCAATCTGCCTCAGATGATGCAGTGGAAATGATTTGAAGTATAAATAATGATGTTTTATGCTCTACATTAATAAATGGCTTTATTCAGTGATAAAACCTACTTCAGCTCAGTATTATACAAGGAATTCAGCACATCAGACTTAAACATGGATGGAAGATTGCCTTACTCCAGGTTTTTCTTTTTCTTTTTATCTGTATCCAGTAAATTTCAATCACAAGACAGGATCAACATGTACTAAACATGTTCTTCAGTTAATGTCAAAATTTACTGGTATTAAATTAACCACAGGAGAGTTGCACTTTGCCCCTCTGCCTGCAGCAGGAACATATTGAGCATTACAAGGAAGAAAAATATAGTTCAAAGAAAACACACTCATGAATGTATGCTAAGATCTATGTACCTTCATGATTTTATGCAAATTAATTTACTTAGTGCTTTGATTCTTCAATTAAAATGAAAAGCAAAAGAAAATAACTTTTCCTGCACGATATACATGATCTTCTGCATAAATATGACACCTATTAGATTGTTTTCTTTTTGTTTTTCTAACCTGATCTTAGAAAGTGATAAATATTCCAAGTCTTCACTTCTTGCTCAGCTAAAACTCTTTTTGAAGTTACTAAAATGCTTATACTTTGATCCTCCTTCAGAATTGCTGGTTAAGACACTGAGTCCATGCAGAATATCATCATTTTAAGACAATTTCACACAAGGGCACAATTCCAGTAATTTAATCATTAAGGCCTTTAGAGTACAATTCAATAAATGTTTTCCATTAAATAGTCTTTGTTCTCAACTGACTAATAATTTTCACAAAAAGCATTTTATTTCCAAAATGAACTTTTGTAGAGAAAAGACTACTTTCCCATCTTCTATAAAAATCCCAAACAAATAAACAACAGGGTGAAATAGCTGTTGGTAATGTTGGGTTGCAGAAGAAAGGGGGATAATTTTGTATGTTTTTTTAAAAATTTCAAAATATCTGAGTGTTCTGGCCTCACACTACTATCACTGTTAATGGACCAGGACTCTCAAAGAAAATATACTTTTGCTTCTGGATTGCTTTCCTATGATTTCTGTAATATACAATGACAGCTCAGCTAAAGATATCCTAAAGCAAAAACAGAATTAACGTGAAAAAGTTTATGGAAAACACTGGGACATCAGGCACTTGAGTTGTATTACCAGATAAAGAGTATGAGACTGATTTTTTTAAAACAAAAATTGCTTACAAACTTCCACAGAAAACATCAGAGTAATTTTCAGAAAAACACTAATTACAGTAAGGTCCTATATAATGAAAATTCCCATTAATTCAGAGAAATTATTCAGGGAAAAATTAAATACATTCCAAATGTAGAATTCTTTTCCAAATACAGAATTTTATTAACCCCAGCAGGATTTCTATGAACTCACAGTTGTCTTACAAGTATTTTTGTTCTTGTTTAAAGAATGTGTGGAAGACATCAATAATACTTTACAAATTTCATTTTATTACTTTCTTTCTGCAGAAATAGAAGATCCTCTGGACAACTGGGGGCTAGCAAAGGGAAAGAATGGGATGTGTTAATCACAAAGTAACAGAGAATTCAGATTTGAAGACAGTTCTTAACAGATATTAAGGGAAGATAATATCAGGCTGAGCTGGAAGAGATTAGGTTGGAAGATTTCTTATTTGGGCTCTTTCCTTGTGTCAGGATGCTGCTCGTAGCTAAAGCTTTTAGAGAAAGTATTTTACTCAGCTTGTGTTTTAAATTAATGTCTATGTACTGTGTGAGTGAACTAGTATAAGATGAAAAAGACATTAAAATCTTGACTTAAAACTCTCTGAGTAATTTTCATGTTTATTTGTCATTCCCATGGGTTATTGTGATCAGTAGACTGTATTCCTGTTTCCTCAGGGAAAAGAGTTATTGCAACTTACACAAACACTTTTCTCTGTCCCCTAGGTTTTTCTTACAAAAGGAATATATCATTTGAAAAATTTGTTCTGGTGAATTATTAGAGGAGTGGAGGCTAACAGCATCTCTGGAAATGATGAGGACTCATTCCTTTCTGACAGTTTTGCTTTGGAGCTCTGTGTTTTATGTGGTTCATATGACGCCATCCCAGAAAAGGACTAACAAGCACTCACACAGTGAAAGGATAACAGGATTGTCAGAGAATGATGGAAAAACACTGCACCGCACCAAGCGTGGTTGGATGTGGAATCAATTTTTCTTGCTGGAGGAATACACAGGTCCAGATACTCAATACGTGGGCAAGGTAAGCCTTGTGTTTAAAGGATTCTTTAAAGGTGTTGCATCTAACACCCTTGGTACTTTCACTCCTTCTCCACAGCTGTTTTTCTTTTTGTACAGCAGTGGTCCCAATTTCTCGTTATGTCAAAGCACACCACAGATCACCTGAGGTTCCATGATTGTTCAAAGGTGTGAGAGAAACAAAGAAGTTCAGTGAAAAAAGAAAGGAAACTGTTCAGACTAAAATGTTCCAATTTCTTATTACACATGCCCATGCAAGTTTTATCACTTTTTCAACTGTTAAACATAAATATTAGATAAGAGAATATAAAACTTATGATTTCATTCATCTACATTCTGGCTTTTGCCAGAGTGCTGGGCTGTATACTTTCTCAAGTAAAATACACAGTTCTATTAACAATAAAATTACTGTCTCTCCATGATTCCAAGTAGGGGTGTAGTGTTTGAGGGAAAAAAATCTGGGGTTTGTGATTTATGAAATAATTTCTAAAATTTTACTTAATGGATTGAAAGGCTTTACATTATTTGAGATCTATCTACATCAGATGTTGTCAACAATGACACCTCTGAATTCCAGTTGTCTCCAGTCCTACCTTTTCTGATAACATGACACTCAAAAATGTCTAGATATTTAGCCCTCTGGTGTCACGCCATCCACAGATCTGACTTATAGTCTAGTATAACCAAGTTATCTTTATCAAGATCTAGAATATCAGAGATCTAGAATACACCGAGAGTGTATAGCAATAGAATACCGAGAGTGATTTGCAATTAAGGAAATGTTTATCTTAATGGCTTAAATTAATAAATGTCTGGTTCAGTTTCTGTCATTCATCCACAATGCTGTCCACTATGTCTTATTGTCAGGTGACCCTCTCATTTTCAGGTGACTAGCTACTAAACTGATTTGGACATTTGTAGATAAAAGCTCCAAAATATTTTTGAACATTAGCTAATATCGCTGGTTGTGGGAGACATAATCATCTGGAAACCATTAAAATCATCTCCCTATATTAAGAAACAAATGTCAAAGAAGTCAGCCCTTGTAACTAAGAACTTTATTCTTACCTTATTCATACCAGCACCTGTACAATTCTGTTTTCCATGAAATGCATTCTAATCTGAAGTAGCAGAAATGAGACAAAGGCAAATAATCCAATGGCTAGATCTGTTTATCAGTGTCAAAAATAGGAAGGTTTGTTGTAGGCAAAAGGGTCTTCAATAGAGGATGAACTAATTGCATAGATATACCTATAAAAACAGCAATGTGTTTGCAAGTATTATTGAATATTGAGTAGATTTGTCAAGAAAACATACAAAAAGGTGCACAATAATTCAAACTCCATAGCTGTAAATCTACCTAGACTGACAGAAATAGACTGATTTTTTTTTTAGTAGAAATCTGTCATAGAGGAGAAGCAAATATCAAACATTAGAGCTGCTTCCAATTTCAGTCCCACTGAATATAGATGAATGACTTCAAACTATTTTAACACTCAAATAAATTAAGCTTATATCAAGAACATCACCACTATCCCTGTTTCACAAAAGGAATGCTTGCATGTTATATTGCAAGAGATGCGAACTTACCAGAGTAAGGTAAGATTCCATCTTACTTATTTCAAACTAACAAAAATTTATTGGAAATTATTACCATATACTTAAGTCCAGGAAGAAAAACCAGATGGCTGTAGAGCAGATGGATCTGAGATGTTTCACTTCTTTTAACTCAAATTACATGTTGATATTTTTTACACTTTATTGCAAAATATTACAGAAAGACCCCTGAAAGACATCAGCATCACTGATTCTCTAAACAGGTGGAAATGACCCCAAACATTATCACGTGTTCCAAAGAAGAGGTGCATTGAACTGATGAACTCCATGTGTTTTCATTGATTTTATAACAGTTTATACCATGATGAAATGATCCCAGTTCTGTCCTCAGTGGTACAAAACTACAGTACATACATTTTGCGTTAGTTCAAATTATCATAGGTACATGTGACGTACAGCACCAAGAGGGAGCTGCTACAACAAGAAGTCAAAGAAGGATTTTTTTGAAAAAAAGAAAAAGCACCCTAACAAGTTCAGGGAACAACATTATTCTGAGAAAGGCTTAAATCCCAGGTTTAGTATTCTCCTCTTCAAAGTGATGGTAATTAGCGAACTAGTATGTGTGAAGTAAGAGCACTTTTATTCCAACCCATGGGGACTAGTTCATAGCAAGCATTCTTATCTATCACCTCTTTAATATGGATATGCACAGGCAGATGGGTTTCTGGGGTAGAATAACAAATGTAGTACTAAGATTTAAATAAACTTAATTAAGAAACTTTATCCAAAAATAAACTTCTAGGGTATCATAGCCATAATATTAAAAAAATTAGTAATTTTTATAGTTGAGTTGTTGGCAGCCACCCTTAAAGGTCGGGGGATATATGCAGAACAATTGCCTTGTAAATGTGATGGAAGTTAAGGTAAATCCAGACAACTTACCATCCACCTCACATCTTTCTTTCCTTCCGCAAACTCAGAGTATTCATGTCTCAAATGCAGGTGAATGCATAAAATACATTGTTTTTAAAATGTATAGGGAGGTAAACAATGCTCTAGAGAGTTTACAAATGAAATATTCAGTCAGACACATATGTAAGGTAAGCAGTACCAGAGTCCCATTTAAAAATTAGATAAGAACAAAAAATAAATTCTAAAATATAAGAATGCTATGTTCTTTCCAAATGCCTGTTGTCTAGTGAGATGTGTATTTAAATCATATTATTAATGGGAGGAATTTTCAGAGGATCTAGTGAGAGAAACTGTAAAAGCTAATTCTGCCTACTAAGAATTCACAGAAAAAGTGGATTACAATACAGCATTATTAGTTAAATTTATAAAATTAATTTCTTTTTAAAGGGAGAAAAACAATCTGATAGGTTTTTGTTATAAAATAAGAAGGTGTTCTTGTTAGAAGAGAAAATAAACACCTGACTACATGTCATATCTGGGAATCTCCTTTTCTTTTGCGAAGGAGGGGCCATAGATCCAGCCTCTCAGCTGCTACTAACTTTAAGCCCCTTGCAGAACCTGAGAAATGAAAGTTAAAACACTGATATTCTATGACAAAATTTTACCAAATCTACTCACTTCCTAACAACCTATCCAGAGAGATAATTATCTTAAAAATGGACAAGCAGTTCTGGAAGTATTAAAATGCTGATGAGGATGATGTTTATTAATCACAGAAAAAAACTTGCACAGATGGCTCTAACCATATAACCCTCAAGGAAAAATTAGTTTTATTTTCCAATTGATATCTTATTATCAATAACATAATATTGATTTTATGTGGCTCCATTTCTAAATGACATAACTGCTACCCACTGAATGGACATCACTTGTGCATAATGGCAAATACCTTTAACTCCACTTCTTATGAAACATCCCTAGATAAAAATAAATAGACCTGATCACAATCATGAGACGCTTTGGAAAACATGGTCCTTTATGGTTTGAACAGTATATTGAAGTGATTTCAAGAGATGAAATTTCCCCTCCTTTAAGTCACTCAATTACATTTTTTACATGGAAGCTCTTCTCTCCCTATATCAAAAAGGTACCTTGCTAATAAAATCTGCTAATCTTGATGGACAGATAAGGGGTGAAGTACCATGCAATATATGTCACAAGCATTCATAAACATTACAATCAAACACCTGCCATATCCCAGAATTTTAAAAAGAAGGAACAAAAAAGAATAAAAACATTTTTTTTCACACCACCTGCAATTTTTCTTTCTCATAATAAAGGAGGAAATACAAAACAAAAAAAAATCACAAATGTCGCTGCTCCAAATTATCTGCACGAATAACCTTCCATTTAACAACTTCCATAAAAACAAATTAACTAGGTTCTGCATGTCATAAACAGCATTTAAATTGGATGAAAACTGAAGAATTATCTCCTATCACCAGTTAATCAAAGAATTTTTTTCATGACATTTTGTGTCTTCATGAGACTTATAAAGTGAAAAGGAAAATAGTAAAAGGGTAAATTTTTAGGTTGTTTTTTTTTTTTTGGCGAGGGGGAGATGTTTGGTTTGGTTTTGTTTTTGGAAGGGCAGGGTACAACATATATTTAAATGCAGCCACTTCTTTCTTGTAATCTACATTTATAATATTCAGACATCTGCAAGTAAGGTTGTATGCTATAGCAATCTCTCTTAAATGAGAGAGACAAAACCAAAAGAACTTAATTAAACTTAATAAATAATTATTAACTTTATAGCTATTTAACTCAAAAACAATAAAAGAGGTATCACTGGATTGCCAACCTCACCAGACTTGGTTATTTGTAACAAAAATTGGCTCAAATGCCCCTCTGTACTGAACAGTTTTGAGGTTTTTTCCTTATTATTTAATGGAATTTGATAATAATTTCTTGCAAATATAGATGCAAATGTATTAATGGCTAAAAATATTATTTCACATTATTTTGCTCTCTGCCTTTGGTGCACCTACCAGTCCAGAGTAGGCTCCCTCTCAATATGAAAAGCAGCAGAGAAGTTTGAAACCTGAGACCAGTAAAGCACTTTCTTCATTAGTCTTATCTTCATTCATGTCCAGTGAACATTTTCTTGAGGCCTTGGCTATACTCAAGCTCTGCTCTGAGCAGTTTGGGAAGAAGAGGCTTATTGCTCCAGGGGTGACCCCAAAAAGCTGGCTCTTGGCAACACTGCAATGCCCAACCATCAATAACCTTAGTTGCTCCATCCTGAAGCATAATGTTTTCTTCCACAGTAGTTTTTACTAATTACCTAATACTATTTTCTTTGTATACTGAATTTTTATCTTTATCTTGCATTTTTAGTGAGAGACAGAACTTATTTTTTCACTTGTGACCTAAATCAATTTATGCAATTTTTCCATAAAGATTTCTTTATAGCATTTGTTACTTTTCCTCTACAGAGACAGTTTAAGAGTGACCTGAAAGGATGAAAGAATG